AGCTACCATCTGCGCTAGATCAGCTCTCTTGGGAGTTCCCTTTAATTGGAAGTTCATTTTCCAACATACAATAGCTACCATCTGCGCTAGATCAGCTCTCTTGGGAGTTCCCTTTAATTGAAAGTTCAGAGAATATAGCTGTTATTTCTCTCTCCCCACCCCACTGCTAGTAATACTTGTATCCTCCTCTTTCCACTTGCAAAGATGATGGATCCCAAACATGTCAGAACAAGGATTCAACTAATCAAACCATAAATATCAATATTTCCCAGACATGCATTGATATGAAATAAGGGGTAAAACACAGAGTTTGACAAGAAAAAGGAGAGCAACATATGATGAAATCTTGATTACCGAAAAACGCTCTTGCCCTGTTGGCATAACTCTATGCAACGTAGACCTACAAATGTATAGTTTATGTTACTGTTGAATTTGGTAAAATGAACTTTCAGCACAGGAAAAGGCAATATGAAGAAATATAACATCTCTTGAACCAGAAGTAAAGACCCTAGGGAAGGATTATGCTGTCTTTAGATATAAAAGAGATCAGAAGAGATTTGCACTACCGAAATAAGCAGTTTGTCCATCTCTCCATCATATCTCCAATGTTAACTATGAAAGCCCTGCAGAACAACAATTGGAAAGAAAATTCAGCAGTTATGTGATGATACCATGTATTATACTACATAATCAAGCCAGAGAGTAGATTAAACATTGAATAGAGTAGAAAGGGAATGTTGGCGATGACATAGGAAAATACTGGCCAACACATTCACGGTATAATGCTTGGAAATAGATTAGCCCCTTAATGAAGCAATTCTCAAAAACTTTTCCAAAAGGTAAACAAGAAGGTATTTAGATCTGTTCACAGAGAGAAAGACATACAAAACACACCTGCTAATAAATCTCTGACTTTATAAAGCGGTTACTTTTGAATAACAATGCTGCGATAAGTACCTTGTAGAAGGGATCTTGGAAATTAACACAGAAAGATGAGAGGAGTTTTGAGGCTTTTGCCTGCTACTCTGACCATCTTCCTTCGCAATTTAAGTGAAGAAAACTTGGTTAACTCGAACATATCTGCTTCTGGTATCTCATCTACAAGGGAACAATCTATGACTAACTCATCCAGTTGAATCAAGGTTGAATTAAATCTAGTTTAAGCAAAGGATCCTAAATTTTCATTTCCATTTTGGATCACGAGTCAACAACAATCTGTAACCTGTAATTGTGATAGACTCAAGACAGTAGGACTGTGATCAGGAACAGGTTTTTAAGCCGAAGGGGAAGGGGTCTTTCTTCTTCTACTTTTTTTTGGTCTTTTTGGGTGGAAGTGTGGTTCTGGGAAGAGGTCTAGGACAATTTAACAGCCTTTTAGAGAATATTAAGCATGACAGTAAAGAACTCGTTCAACTGGTTGGGAACATTCATGAGGTCACTACAGAATGCAGATAGGAAGCCCCTATACATAGAAAAAAAGGAAAAAGAAAGATAGAAGAGAACTTCTCACATATTAAGTAGTGGGAAGCTCTGTGAAGTAGTAGATGACACTCAGGATGTGCATAAGGATGCAGATATAGGAATGTCCCTTTATCTCAACAAATTTAAGAGATGGTCTTGAAGTGGATCTAAAAGGATCATTTGCAATAGAACCCCAAATCATTAAATGTGGTGAGAATATCCCATTATAACATTCAAGAAAACAGAAAACCTTTCCACATCTGAATAGCGTTTTGCAGATTGTCATCCAGCATCAGCAAATTTATCGGAATGATTGACACCTCACATTGGTTGCAGCCTTCTAGAGTGGCGCACATGGACAAAAGGGAAACACTGGAATATTGCCAAACTAGATAAACAGAACAATGCTCATCATTTTCACATTGAAACTTTTCACTCATTAGAAGAGGCTCAAATTCAATCTTGATCAGGCTTGTCTCTGACTCCAGAATACATCAATCAAAAATATCTATATTTGAATGACCATCGAACCTACCCACTGAGGTGATGCACATCTTCCCATATCTGAGGTCGCTTGAATTTCTCCCGGCAAACCTGTTAGCTCTAGAACCAGTTAATATATGCATTCATGAGAACCAACATTTGGATAAAAGAAAAAACATTTCATATCAGACGTGCCTGAAGTCCACCAACACCATCTGTAGCTAGAAGAGTTAACATCCCATAGTCTGAATGAGCAGAAGCACCATACACCACTTGTTCAGATAATTGTAACTCACCTACAGAAAGTTTACATATAGCATTTGATTTAATGATCAAGCTGGAAGCCCCACTGTCCAATTTGCATGATTTAAACCATTTCGCGACATTGCTACCCTATAGTTTAAAGGAAATTCAAGTATTGCATCAGATGCAGTTATCAAGCATGGAAACATTGACTATGTAAAAAGGAGCATTCAATAAGTAGTCACTTTTCCAGTTCATAATGCGTCGTTAAACAAATATACATAATCCAAAGAAAGAACACTAATAGCACAGAAACTGCAGTCCACCCTGAGAAAACTTGTCTTCGCATATTCACAAGCATCAATCAACAAAGATGTCTCCCCTTTTCCCTCCCACTTCATATCATCTTGAGGTGCGACAGCAAAACTAATATTTAGACAGAAAACATGTACTGATCACCTATTAAAAACAGGAAGAAAAAGAACTCAAAAAGATAGATGCCGTTTATGGAACTAAACCTGGATAATGTAACAAACGAAGGAATGCATTTGGTGAATCACATGCCCCTGCTTTATGAAAGAAGTCCTCATCCAATTCCAATGCCAAAGCAATCAGTGAAATTAGTCTTATCCCGGCATCCCTGAGACAAAAAAGTCAAATCAACCACAAATCAAGTAACCTAGCAATCTGCAAAACACTGAGCTGTTAGCAAGAAGATGAAGACCAATGGTCAGAGATGCAACTTAAACGTTTAACTTTCAGTTACACAAAATTATAAGCACAGGGAACTGAGTGATATGAATCATTTAAAGATGTTGGTGTTACAGTTGTTTATATCAAGATGAAGTCTAGGCAATAAGGAAATCCAAAATTTCTTTTAAAAAATATCAAAGTGATACTCACAAGACTCCTTTATAGTAATCTTCCATGGTTGATCTCCAACAAGGCAGAATTTCTAGACATCCCAAAATGGAAGAAAACATCAAAGAGTCACCACACATGTTTCTGGAGAAATCTGTGCTTCAAACATGAAGTATGTCTCGAAGCACACGGGAATTGATGCACGAATAAAGAAAAGGGTGCTTTTGATGGTAGAAATCTATGTTTCTTGTTATAGGGATCATATCACCATAATGAAGACAAACAAACCCCAAGAGCCTAAGTATATTAAGGACAAGATCATGCTGTAAGCTCAAATAAAGATGTAGAGAATACCTTCTGCAGGCCACTGATTCAAGGTACCAACAGCCCTACTGTCTTCCAGAGGACCAATGTAGAAGCTTTCTTTTGAGTCACCTGCACTCCAATGACGAAACAATTAACTCAAGATTTAAGCTACCTTCTGTCTTACTATACCCAAAATCAATTCGCAAATGTAACCAACAAAAGCCAACTGAAGAAAAGTGGCATAAGAGGAAAATCTATACATGAAAACATTTGTTAGGCAAAGAGCTAGCCTTTAGGTAAACAAGACCTTGGATAGGATCAATGTAGCTTAATCTATGCTTATAACTAATGAAATTAACTGATTTACCACATGGTTGAGACCAACTCAACCAAAAAAAAAATTTATCATGTTGTAATTTCAGCAGCAAAATTAATTTTTTTTTACAGAATTTCAGCCTTCATTCTCTCTACTCCCTGGGGGTAGGGGGTAAGGTATGTGTACACACTATCCTCCCCAGACCCCACTAGTGGGATTTTACTGGGTCGTCTTTGTTGTTGTAATATCAGCCTTCTGCTATGCAGCAGCTAACGTTCTGTGTCAATGCAAACATCAAAAACATCTCCACCGAATGTTCACATCAGATCAATAGACATTCATCTTTTAGATAAATTTTATCACCTTAATTAATATGCATTCTTACCTAAACCAGTGACTAATGAACTCATGTTAGTGCTAAATTAACTTGGTTTTGTGCAAACACAGAGAGCATGAAAAAGCAAAACTACCTTGGGTACCAGAAGAGGGATCGAGATTCTCAGCATAAAGGGGAGTATAACCTCTGTTGTTCCTCCGTACCAGTTTCGTCTTCTCTTCAACTGGCAGTGAGAAATACTTTTTGCTGTGCTCGAGCACTTCCTTAAACAGCTTTTCCTCAACCCCATGGTTTATAAGGTAAAAGAAACCAACTTCTACACATGCCTACACCAAAACACAAAGGATTGAATACCTGACCTTATAATTCAAGATCAAAAATTTAGTAAAAGAGTCCAATTACATTGGTTTTGAGATAATAAAGAAAAAGAGAAACCTGACGAATTGCACGAGCGGCGGAAACACGATCAGGGGAAGTAAGGTCGATAATGGGTAGCTGAAGTGATTCTGCCATTATAACTACTCTTACTATGTTTCGTTGGTTCTTCCAAAAATTGAATGGCTTTTCTCCGGTAAAAATTACGCCACTACAAGAAGAAGACCGTCGGTTCAAAAATCAAAACCACCTCTAGTTTTCAATTTGTGACCATACGACTTGTTTCGATTTGTGGGTCAACGTTTGTAAGAAAAGATATGTTTTTTTTTTAAGTTAACACAAAAGAAGTAAGTGTTTGTCATTTCCATAATCCCTTATGGATATACAACCAACTTAAAGTAGTAGCTTACGCATCAACTTGCTTTCTTCTATAAATAAATAGATGAGATTTCAATTTATTATGTACATCAGTTTGAAGTTGAATAATATATGAGTTTCTCTCTATATTTATCTTTACTTTACAATCTTTATTTTATAACACGTTATCAGCACGAGACTCTGCCATCTCGAGCAAATACTTTGAAAGTATCAGAGGTACGAACTTTCTTTTTCTAAATAATGTCAAATCTTTCTAAACTTGAATTTGTAGCCCTGGATATGTCGGGCAAAAGCTACACGTCTTGGGTGTTTGATGCTGAAATTCATCTTGATGTGATGGGTCTGGCAGACACCATCAAAGACAAAAATCAAACATCAAACCAAGACCGTGCCAAAGCAATGATATACCTACGCCAACACCTTGATGAAGGCTTGAAAATGGAATATCTCGCTATTAAAGATCCAGTCATACTGTGGAATAATTTGAAAGATAGATATGACCACCTGAAGATGGTCGTTATTCCACAGCCCCATTATGAATGGACTCATCTAAGGCTACAAGATTTTAAATCTATCGGTGAGTATAATTCTGCTATGTTCAGAATTATTTCCCAACTGAAATTATGTGGTGATAATATTACTGATCATGATATGTTGGAGAAAACTTTCACCAATTTTCATGCCTCGAATATGCTCGTGCAGCAGCAATATCAAGAGATGGGATTCAAAAAATTATCTCACATCTTCTTGTAGCTGAGCAACATAATGGGCTATTAATGAAAAATCATGAAAGCCGACCTATTGGTTCTTGTCCATTCCCTGGAGTGAATGAGACGAACTTCCACCAAGCTAAGCGTGGAAGAGGTCGTGGCCCTAGTCGCGGTCATGATCGTTGTCGGGGAAGAAACTCTAATCATGGTAATAATAATGCACCAAAGAACCCTCCTCGCCACCAGCAGTGGAAAAGAAAGGAACAAAAACATGAAGCAGTGCAAGCAACAAATGCAAAAAAATGCATGCTATAGATGTGGAGGAAAAGGGCACTAGTCACGTACTTGGCGTACACCAAAGCACCTGGTTGAGCTTTATCAAACCTCCCTAACGAAGACAGAGAAAAATGTTGAAGCAAATTTTATTTCTGAAGATAATTTAGACTTCATGCATTTGGATGTAGCTGATTACTTTGTACTCCTAGAAGGAGAAACAAGTCTGTTATCGGTGGTGAATCCGTAGAAATGTAGATATTTTAGTTTTGGTTGTTTGTAATAGATAATATGGTTATGTAATTGTTGTACATAAATAAAAGTTATGCTTTGATAATAATGTTTACTATAATATATTTTCTTTATGTCATTTTGAAGAATATGGATACAAATTATGTTTGGATCAAAGACCAATCATGAAGATATTTGTGTAATTGATAGTGGAACAACTCATGCCATATTCAAGGATCAGAAATATTTTTCTTATTTGCATAAGGAAAAAGTAAATATTTCAACAATTTCTGGTAATATAAGTTTGATTGAAGGCTCCGGAAGAGCCACTATATTTCTGTCTAAGGGAACAAAACTTATTATGGACAATGCATTGTTCTCCTCCAAGTCCTAAAGAAACTTGCTGAGTTTTATAGATATCCGCCGTAATGGGTATCATGTTGAGACGATAGATGAAATGAATATGGAATATCTTTGTATTACAAAGAATGTTTCTGGCCAGAAGTGTATTGTAGAAAAGTTACCAACTTTATTTTCTGGCTTATACTATTCAAAGATTAGTGCAGTTGAAGCACACTCTATCGTAAACCAGAAGTTTACTGATTCAAATACTTTTGTGCTTTGGCATGGCCGTTTGGGCCATCCTGGATCAATAGTGATGAGATGAATTACTGAAAATTCGATTGGGCATCCATTAAAGAACATGAAGATTCTTACAAATGATGAATTTTCTTGTGATGCTTGTTATCAAGGCAAAATGATCACTAGACCATCACCAATGAAGGCTGGCATTGAATCCCTGCCTTTTTAGAACGTATACATGGGGATATATGTGGACCTATTCACCCACCAAGTGGGTTGTTTTGGTATTTTATGGTCCTAATAGATGCATCTTCAAGATGGTCTCATGTCTGCCTATTATTATCTCGTAACCTGCATTTGCAAAGCTATTAGCCCAAATAATTCGATTAAGGGCACAATTCCCAGATTATCCTATAAGGCTAATCGCCTTGATAATGCTGGAGAATTCTCATCTCAAGCTTTTGATGATTAATTTCTATCAGTTGGGATAAAAGTTGAACATCATGTAGCTTGTGTTCATACTCAAAATGGCCTTGTAAAACCATTTATTAAACGCCTGTAATTGATAGCAAGGCCACTACTTATGAAAATAAAGCTGCCCACTACTGTTTGGGGCCATGCTATCTTGCATGCAACATCACTTATTCGTCTCAGACCGACACACTATAATAAATATTCTCCGTCACAATTAGTTTTTGGTCATGAACCAAATATTGTCCATCTACGAATTTTTGGATGTGCTGTATACGTGCTAGTAGCACCACCACGGCGCAGTAAAATGGGCCCCGAAAGAAGGTTAGGAATATATATTGGGTTTGAATCACCCTCAATTATTCGCTATCTTGAACCATTGACGGGATATTTATTTACTGCTCGATTTGCAGATTGTCGATTTGATAAAACAAATTTTGCCATAATTAGGGGGAGAGAAAAAGGAAATCAAAAGAGAAATTGTGTGGAAAGTTTCATCATTATCTCACTTTGATCCACGTACACCTATATGTAATCAGGAGGTCCAGAAGATCATCCATTTACAGAATATAGCAAATCAAATGCCATAAGCATTTACTGATTTGAAAAGGATAACTAAGTCAAATATCCCTGCAGAGAATGTGCCTATCCGAATGATGTACCGGCAGGACCATCTACTAGCATGAGAGCTAGTGAACCTAAAGCATGGTAGGCTTTTGGGTTCTACGGATCGAAATCCTAGAAAAAGAAAATCAACAAATGATCAAAATGATACTATGAAGGGATCTCCTGAAGAGACCCAAGATCTTATTATTTCTGAGATTTCTGAAGAAATCAATGAACCCAAGACTCAAGTGCGAGAGGAACTTTAAATAAGTTCTACTGGTGATGGGATTAATTTAAATTGATCTGAAATAGTGGTGGATAATATTTTTGTATATAATGTTGCACTTAACATTATGTAAGATAGTGAGAATCTTGAACCTGATCTGTCGAAGATATCGACAAAGATCTGATTGGCCAAAATGGCAAGAGTCAATTCAATCAATATTAAAGTCGCTTGCTAAAAGAGAGGTCTTTGGACCAGTAGTCCAAACACCTGCTGGTATAAAACCAATTGGTCATAAATGGGTTTTTGTGCGAAAAAGGAATGATAAAACTGAAGTTGAAATATCCAAGGCTCGCCTTGTCGCACAAGGATTCTCACAACGACCTGGAGTTGATTATGAAGAAACATATCACCCGTTATGGATGCCATAATATTTCGATATCTCATCAGTTTAGCCTTACAAGAAAGGCTTGAAATACAACTAATGGATGTGGTTATAGTTTATCTGTACGAGTCACTTGATAATGAAATTTATATGAAAATTCCTGAAGGATTTAAAATCCCTGAAGCAAGTTCAAAATCTCGAGAAATGTATTCAATCAGATTATAAAGATTTTTGTACGGTTTAAAGCAATCTGGGCGCATGTGGTATAATCGCCTTAGTGAATATTTGCTGAAAGAGGGTTACATAAATGATGTTATTTGTCCATGTATTTTTATAAAGAAAATGGCATCAGAATTTGTTATACTCCCTCCGTTTCATATTAGATGAGGTAGTTTGACTCGGCACGGAGTTTAAGAAAAAAAAAGAAGACTTTTGAAACTTGTGGTCTTAAAGCTTAAGAGGTAAAAAGTTTGTGGGGCCATGACATTTGTGTGGCTATAAAAGCTTCTCATTAAGGGTAAATGGGTAAAATGAAAGAGTTTAAAGTTGAATTATTTCCAAATTTAGAAATGTGTCATTCGTTTTGGAACAGACTAAAAAGGAAAGTACCTCATCTAATATGAAACAGAGAGAGTACTTGTTGTTTATGTTGATGACATAAATCTTGTGGAATTCCAGAAAAGCTCCAAAAGGCAATTGAATATCTTAAGAAAGAATTTGAGATGAAAGATCTTAGGAAGACAAAACTTTGTCTTGGTCTGCAAATTGAACATTTAGCAGACGAGATCTTTATCCATCAATCTACCTATACATAAAGGGTCTTAAAACGCTTTTACATGGACAAAGCGCACCCATTGAGCACACCAATGGCTGTTCGATCACTTGAAGTGAATAAGGACCTGTTCCGACCTCCAGAAGAGGATGAGGAACTCCTTGGTCCCGAAATACTCTATCTTAGTAGAATTGGTGCACTAATGTATCTTGTTAATGCCACAAGGCCTGACATAGCATTTTCTGTTAATTTACTAGGAAGATATAGCTCTTCTCCTACACGGAGACACTAGAACGGGATTAAGCATACATTGCGATATTTAAAGGGAACTCTTGATATATGTTTGTTTTATGCTAACAAAGATAGTACATATCTTGTTGGTTATGCAGATGCAGGTTATTTATCTGATCCCCATAAAGCTCAATCTCAAATCGGGTGCGTGTTTACATGTGGAGGTACTGTCATATCATGGTGCTCCACAAAGTAATTTATTATTGCTACTTCTTCAAATCATGCTGAGATAATAGCTATTCATGAAGCAAGTAGTGAATGCGTATGGTTGAAATCAATAATTTATTTTATTCGAGAAAAATATGTTTTGGAATGTGAGAAAAGACCCACAAATTTATACGAAGACAATGCTGCTTGCATAGCCAATTGAAGGGAGGATTTATAAAATGAGATAGAACAAAGCACATTTCACCAAAATTATTCTACACACACGATCTTCAGAAAAATGGTGGCATTGATGTGCAACAAATCCGTTAAAGTGACAATCCGGCAGATTTATTCACTAAATCTTTGCCAACTTCAACTTTTGAGAAGATGGTGTAAAAGATTGGAATGCGGAGACTCAAATATATGAAACAAGGTTTTCATCAGGGAGAGTAAAATACGCGATGTACTCTTTTTTCCTTACTAAGATTTTTCCCACAGGGTTTTCCTTATAAGGTTTTTTTAATGAGACAGCTAACGATGCGTATTACTAAATATGTGTGCTATTTTTCCTTCACTAAGATTTTTTTCCCACGGAATTTTTCCTAGTAAAGTTTTAATGAGGCACATTATCTTTTAATGAACATCTAGAGGGAGTGTTATAAATATATATTATATTATGGATGTTTCATTTAGTACTTCGTTGTAAATAAGCTTCCTGAAGAAGCTTATCCATATCGGACACCGCCATAAATATGTTAAACTATTTAGTACTCTATTGGAAATAAGCCTCCTGAAGAAGCTTATCATTTCGGTACTCCGTTATGGCTAAATATTATCCCCGGTAGAAGATTATCTATATCTGGTACAGTAGCAGCTTACACCGCAGCTTGCAATAGAAGCTTGCATTCTTCTATAAATAGAGGAGAATTCAGTTCATTATGTACATCGGTTTGAAGTTGAATAATATATCAGTTTCTCTTTATACTTGTCTTTACTTTATAGTCTTTATTTTATAACAAGTTAGTCCCTTGTATTTGTTTGTAAAATATTTTGGGATAATACATAATTCCCTTCCTGGGTTGTCCAATTTTACCAGTTGCACCCTTAAACTTTGCGGGGCATAAATACCACCTTCCGTGACTAGCATCACTTTCAACAAAAATAATATATTACACGCACCAATCATATTTTGACATGTGCTTTTCTTTTTATTCACTATTTATTATAAAATTATATTTTATTTTATTTTCCTTTTCCTTTTCTTTTTTCTTTTTTCTTCTCCTCGAGCTCTGAAACTCCATCTGTAACAATTAGAATTACTCAACACAATGCTA